GTGGGTTTGAGATCAAAGATGGTCAAGGGTTCATATGTCTTCTTACGTTTCTCATCTTAACTCTCATTCTCAAAGGTCAAAAGTAACAGGAGGTCCTAAGTTCAAATCCAATGAGGAATAAAAATCCCCTTGTGACCACGGAGATTCAAATATGGCGGGCTATCTGCAAAGCAGGTGGTAGCTCTAGGATTAGTCGGCTCTCATAGCGGGTCGGATATCCAGGTTAATAAAAAAAAAAACTCTCATTCTCACACCGATCATTCATCTGCAACCAAAACATGGGCAAATAATCAATAGATAATAGTCAATACTTAGTACACTATCTCACATTTGAATCTATCAAGTATAATGACTGCAGTACCTACAATTAATATCTGAACATGACAAGTACACAAGTACCTTGTGTTACGCATGAGTGACTCAGCTAATCCCACTCACCTTGTGTGATCAACACAACCTTCTGTGTGAGCATCGTGACCCAATTTCCGCTAGTAGCATAAAATTACAAAAGCGATGCCAAAATCCTTGTATGGCTTCGTCTAAAACGTTGTTCTGGGGGGGATCATACCTGTTGGTAGCGGCTTCAAAAATAAATATTCCTCGATAAAAAGAAATATGACCAAGAGTGGTTCGAATATATATATATATATATATATATATATTTAAAATTTCTTTTTTTATACTTATTTGTATTAAATAGTGTCCATAAATCTCATAATTGGCCCCAAAAGATTCATAGTGAATTTCAATGGAGGCTCCTCTTGCAATTGCAGCAATAACGTGTTGATCTAGTTGCCACCAGAACCACAAAGGACTACCTAAATTGATTTGTTTTTACCAATTCCGTACTCACATGCATCATTCTTCTTCTTGAGCTCACATACACGACTTCCTTGAGTCACTTTCAGACTCGCTTTCATCGCACAAACTATTATGTGGAATCAATGATCTAAACATCCATATTAACCCATTTATAATTTGTTTTGCTTCATTCTTTTTGCACTACAATGTTACCAACAAACATTACTTTCTCTTACCATAACTAAAATGACGTTTAACTAATCATTACATGTTCTAATTCATGCATAACTCACCGATCTCATCAAGGACACTAAAATCTCAATTCCCTGTAGCCTTAAGGCTTCATTCCCGACCCTATTTACGTGCTCAGATATACTAAGTGATTCTAAAACATTTGATTTCAACCGGTCTTGACCAGACCCATTTTTTTTGCATATATTATCAATCATATAGTAGTACTTTTATAATTACATCGGTTACAATACTTTAGCAAAACAAATCATCGTATAATAACCAAATAATACGTTATTCTTGTCATGTTTTTAGCGATCATTAATTTATATCAACATCACAATCACAAATGATAGAAGGAATCATAAAAAGAAATGGTAGAAGTTAATGGAAGGAATCATGAAAAAATGAATTCCATCAACCAAAAGTATCTTGCATTGTGATCAAAGAATTGACCTTTTGAAATGCTTCTTAGTCAAATTCAAACTTGATGTATCTTATTTTGTCATCATCATAAAAACTAATGTCTACAATACAGAAACACACATCTACCATACATGACTACATATACATACATATATATATATAGATATATGTGTGTGTGTGCATTTAACCAGGCTGTTTCAAACGTATCAAAATTGCCATTGTTGCATGCATTGATCGAAGATCTCATGAAATCTTGAAGATTACTATAACATCAATGGCTGAAGGGATTCGGACGTTGGAGAAGACACCGACATGGGCGGTGGCTGCTGTTTGTTTAGTCCTCGTTACCATATCGATTCTCATGGAACATGTTATTCACTTAATTGGAAAGGTTGGAATGAACCCTTTTATCACTAATCTTTGTGTCTTCTGATCGAACCAGTGATTGTGGACTTGTGGGTTCAAAAAATGTTCGCTTTAGTTGCCTGATCGATCTTTCTAAAAATGGAAAATAATTCATTAACTAATAACCCGTTTGCTTGATTTGCAGTGGTTGACAAAGAATAACAAAAAGACATTATATGAAGCACTCGAAAAGATCAAATCCGAGCTTATGCTATTAGGGTTCATCTCGTTGCTGCTAACAGTGGGGAAATCGACTATAACTGATATTTGCATATCGAAAACTCTTGGAGAAACTTGGCTTCCATGCAGTAAAAAGGACATTGAAGAAATGGATGGTCATCATGGTGCAAATGGTGAAGAAATTATTCATCGAAGATTTCTGTCGTTGTTTGCCTCCAACGTCACAGCTCCTCGACGTGTTCTTTCTGCTGCTAGTTCCGGTGATAGATGCAAAGAACAGGTGAATAGATGTGATCAAGGAGTCTTTACACCATTTTACTAAATAAATCTTGGTTTTCTTGAACAGCTTTGGTCTTTTTTGTAGGGAAAGGTTCCATTTTTATCAAGTGATGCCCTCCATGAGCTCCATATGTTCATCTTCTCGTTGGCTGTTTTTCATGTCGTTTGTTCTATAATCACACTGGCTTTCGGTCGAGCCAAGGTACAGCTGTTCTTCTCGGTCTTGGGCTCATAAATGGCTATCGTTCTATTAAGATTAACTTCTTGTTTGCGTAGATGAAAGAATGGAAGACATGGGAGATGGAAACACAGACGACTGAGTACCAATATACACATGGTATGCTCTTTAATGACCTCTTTTTGGTTCGTTTTCAACTGGGTTTGAATCTTTTCTTTTTCGTTCTTGAAGATCCAGAGAGGTTTAGGCTCGCGAGGGACACAACCTTTGGCCAACGGCACTTGAGTGTATGGAGCCGGTCACCCATCTTTATTTGGATGGTATGTACATCCGAAATAAGTTGTTTGTTGAGTTCCTCCCAGCCATGGCTAATCTTTTTAAGCTTTTTCACAGGTGGGATTCACAAGACAGTTAGTGAAGTCGGTCCCAAAGGTCGATTATATGACTCTTCGCCATGGATTTATCATGGTAAAAGACTGCTCGATTCTTCATCAAGATTCTATGACTAGAAAATTATGAGTACCTGAAAATAAACCACGGATTCCTTGTTTTGTTCAGGCACATTTAGCACCAAATAACCACGCAAATTTCAATTTCCAGAAGTACATAAAAAGATCACTCGAAGAGGACTTCAAACTTGTCGTCGGAATCAGGTGAGATTCTTGTTTTTGTTCGTAACTTGAGCATGATTTGTTCTTGAAACTGGTTTCTGAATCTTGAATCTTTTCAACAGCCCCCCAATCTGGTTTCTTGCAGTGCTGTTTCTACTCTTTAGCACCAACAGTAAGAACATCCTGGGCCTTTTTAAATCCTTCAAAGTTCATAAAATATGATTCTTTTACCAGAATTAATCTGTCTTCAACTTTTTTTCTGTTATGGGAAGGCTGGAGATCTTATCTGTGGCTACCCTTTATCCCCTTGATAGTAAGTATACATATATTTTCCCTTGATTACTCTCGACTTCTTCCAAAAGCATCGAAAATGATTGATCTAACACTTGGTTTGTGCAGATTGTCCTTTTAGTTGGGACAAAGCTACAGGTGATCATAACCAATATGGGATTGAGGATTCAAGAAAGAGGAGCAGTAGTCAAGGGTACACCATTGGTTCAGCCAACCGACAACCTCTTCTGGTTCAACTGCCCGCAACTCCTCCTCTATCTCATCCATTTCGTCCTCTTTCAGGTTCGTATTCCTAACCATCTCGTAGAATTAAACATCTTTTCTGGACTCTGATTTTGAAGTTTTCTTCGTTCTTCTGCAGAATGCATTTCAGTTGGCTTTCTTTGCATGGTCTGCGGTAAACCCACGAATCTTCGACTGTTTTAACTCAAGATTCGTCAACTTTTGCCTCTAAACATCTTTTTTTTCTTCTTCCTATATATACACTTTTGGTGCTTGCAGTATGAATATGGGCCGAAATCATGCTTCCATAAGAACAAAGCAGACTTTGGCATCAAGGTTTCAATGGGGTGAGTGATCACACTAGACTTTCTTGATGAATTCGATTCAAGAGCTTCTGTTGCTGATTGTTTCAAGAATTTGCAGGCTCTTTGTACTGATTTTGTGCAGCTATGTGACTTTACCTCTCTATGCTCTAGTGACACAAATGGGTTCGACCATGAAACCCACCATATTCAACGACCAAGTGGTTAAGGCGCTGCACAAATGGCACCAGAATGCGAAGAAGCAAGTGAAACTAAACTGCAATTCCAACTCCACAACCCCAGTTTCCACTAGGCCTAGCACACCATCTCACCAAACGTCTACCAGCACCAGCAACCACTCGTCTCAACGATCCCAGTTCCATGACGCACTTTTCAAACCGGAGAAACCGTTTGATTCACTTGTTAGCACCAGTAGTGTAGCCGTAGATGTGAACGATGGTTCTCTGACAATTGATCAGTATAAAATTGATGTCGAATCTGCAGAATTCTCATTTGACAAATATGTAGAGGTGCAAATGCCCAAATGAAGTTGGACCAAAATGTAAATAAATTGGTGTATATGGGGTTGATGTGAATAAGTATGTAGTTGGAGGGGGGATTTGCTAATTCTTTAATGGAATTTTGATTGTGGCAATTGCACATAGATTAGGTCCTCATAATAAATAAATTATAAGTTCCTTTTTGGTCTCCTTTTGAAGTTGTTGCTGACATGCCAAAGTTTTTCTAGTATTTATTAATGTAAAGCATTTAAACTGTTGGATACACTTTACTGCAGATCAAACTTTAAAGTGCATCCACACACTTACCAGTTAAGAGTTTATTGCTTATCATTTACCATAATGGGTGAGTGAGAATCTCACCCGGTAAGTGAGAGAGAAGACTCTTTCCTGCTTACCGGGTAAAAAATGTCTACCAACAATCCATTTTGATGAGAATTCTACCCGATAAGGTAACCGAGGATGGTGACTCTTGGCAGTGAACACTTACCCAGTAAGTATTTGATAAACGGGTCCTTAGTGATTAAACAATATGCAAAAGCACAACCAAGATTCTGAAGTCGATATAATTTGTATTAGCGACTAACATATATACATAAACGGTCCCAGTAATTTACGAGGGATACACCACCATGGGATGCAGAATGTTGACCAGATTATTCAGGACCGTTTTTCCTCGATTTCGAGGAGATTCTTGAATTTTTATACATGTATTTACAATAATGGAATTAAGTAAACCACATACAGATAGATAGATGGATGGATAGATAGATTGCAACTTAATTCTGTTTCGTGGGTTCTGCTTTGCAGATGGGACACAAGTTCTTCATTGACAACCATTTTCTAATGCACCCAACATGGAAATCATGCCCACAAGCTTTTAACATCCCGATATCATCCATGTTTGCATATTCTTCCTGCAAATCAAATCGAACAGATATACCATCGATATTTATTTGTCCAAAAGTGAAAGCAAACATGTGACAGATATGGAGCCTAATTTGGATTATGAACTACAGTTAGGATGCAAGGTTCCTGCATTATCGATTTTTTGCAGTCATTTTTCCATGAATGTGCTGTGAAAATTTGCAAGACATAATAAGGATCCTAGGACCAATTGTAAATGTAGAAAATTTCCACCAATGGTAGTGCAGGATGGAGGGTTGTGAAATTCAGATAGTGCCTATAGGGTATGTTTGGTACATGGCGGGGACAGGTGGGAGTGAGTTATGTTGGTGATTTTAGTGTCATCAATCAATTTTGGTAAGTGTGATTCACTTGAGATCAATAAGGTAATAAAACAACGTGAGTTAGGACTTAAGAGGTGCGAAGTGCAAACTCACTAATGTTGCCTCTATCACCTTAGATCAACATAAGGCGGGGGGCTGGACGAATTTCAGAAGGTCGGAAACCTTTTTGAAATTGTTCCTGAACTTACTGGAAATTTCTCCAAGTGTTGTTCAGAGTCTTTGGACTCTCTGATCCTTCTGACCAAAGGTTCTGACAGCATCTACAATGGATTCCCCAAAATGGAGAAAATATAGATTTTGGGGATTTTGGGCATGTTTTTTGCTCCAGCAGATTCTCCAAATCCTTTCTCCATTTTGGAGAAAGTAGAAGAGAGTGTAAAAATCTCCAAATTTGGAGAACACCCAAAATTGATTACAATGAGAGAAAAATATTATCTAATATATTTTCACCAACAGAAAACTTTGAAAATAATATTTAGAGAAAAAAATAATATTTTATTAGATGAAAGGAATATTTTAATAATATAATCACTGTTGTCATCTCCAAAATAGAGAATTTGTTGGAGTTGAATGTATTTTTGTTTTAGAGATTCTAAAGTTCCATCCTCCATTTTATAAAAATTTCGGAGAATCTGTTGTAGATAAGGCATATAAAATGGCAAAATATAGTATTTGGAAAGTGACTTCCAATTTACGATCCAAGAATTTATCCAAGTCTTTATAACCACAAAACCCAGATTTCCCAACAAGGTAGCCGGGTAAAAGATTTTTGAAAGGTTTTATGTATTTAACTTGCCATGGGTAGTTTAGTAATCCTGCCCTATCTCCCTGGTTTTGGTTCCACCTATTTCCTGTTCCAGTTTAATGTCATGCCAAACATGCAACAAGAAGTTTTTGTTCTATCCAGTCCCATCATGTCCCAAGTACCTAAAGCACTAAATATTCTAAATGCACTAGCATGCATCAACAAGTGGCATAATTCCAAAGATGGATTTTTCTTCATAAAATCTGGTAACTACGCAATAATACTCGCATCATCCCCCCCTCCCTCCGAAGAAAAGTGAAACATAAAAATGGAGGGTGAGTACCAAGATGTCACACTGTGTGTGAATGCAAATAACTAAAGTGAATATGATGGGAATATTTCAATCATTGAGAAACTTTTTAGTATAACTTAAGAAGCGGTCAAGTGTAATCTCACCAGGCAGATTACACAGGTTCCTTCCTCTTGTATTTGGTCTGAAGAACAGTAAATTGATTCCTGCACGCACTTTGAGATAAGATGCTCAGGCAATCCAGTGCCGACACTTCCAATCCTTTCCCCAAGTGCAAGGAGGTCCTGTTATCTCCGTTCGTTAGACAGTGAGGAAAAGAAGAATAAAATAAGATGGAAACTTGCCAACCTCGTAGCTCATGTCATCGATGTCAAGTCTCATGTCCCGATGCTGATCAAATGGATTTCTGGATCCATAGAACGCTGATCGATCCACAATCATAAGACCCTGCAATTAAACACATTCATTCGAATTCAAACCACATGCCCCAAAGGGACACTCCTAGCTTTATGGATATCAATGCTACAATGAGTCACACTCATAACCGTAAGGCACATGTCCTTAGGGTACGTTGGGTTTGTTATTGGTTATTGCACAATGTTTTTGACTCAACAAACTAGGATGATGTATAAAGGAATACAGTAACATATACAAGTGAAATTTATGTTTATAGAGAAAGGTGGCACCAAATCTGAATAGGAAGTATGATATTAATCTGGAAGGCAGTGGGCAAGAAGGAAATGTTCTCTTAAAATGACCTACCCAAAAAGAGTGTTTCAACAACTTGATCAAACAAAACAAGGCGTTATTGTGAAGAAGAAGAAGAAGAAGAAGAAGAAGCAATATGTGATGGGACCAACCTACATAAAATTATGACAAACACCAACCAGTTCCAAGATGCAGGGGTTTGCATACTTGTGAAAGAACCAAGGTCTTCTGAAACATAAGTCTGAACATACCTCAGGTGCTGGTCGATCATGGAAATTCACCCCAGAAAGAGACCGGTGTCTCTCGCTTGACATCCTTGCTCGTCCACTCCTGTCACTCGTATGCCAGCCTATAGTGGATGAAGGCCTCGGATGCCGGGAAGTATAATTGTTGGTGGCTAACTGCAACCCTTCATCTGTTGCTACTGAATGCCCCAACCGCAAGTTGCTTGAAGATGCCCTGAAAGTTGAGGCAGGCCTCTGACTATAGCTACTTCGAACTCCTCTAACAGATTGCACTGAGAGGCCCTGGAAATTTTGAAGGACATGATTGCTTCTTGTTAATGGATTGTTATTCTGTTGTCCAATCTCTACCAAAGAACTAGGATTACTGCTTCCAACGAGAAAGGGGTTTAATTCACAATCAATGGAGTTGCTGTCTGCAATTTACAGAAGGAATTTTGTTTTTGTTACTTGAAGAAACAAATTCTGGTGATACTTTGTAATGATCTGTGCATAAAACCTTACCATGGGCAGCAAAAGACATACGAGTTGGATTCCACTCCCTTGTCAGACCGTTTGAACTCTGGCCCAGGAGATCTACGGAGGGTGAAATATCCATGGGCCGGCTAGTTGTATGATATTCGCGTGACAAATTATTTGCCAAATGAGTCCTTGCAGAGTTAGTTTCCAAGTCAAATGCAGCCCTGCTTCGCACATTCCTGAGAGAACTTTCCCCACCAATTGAGAGACTGTTACCTCTGTGATCAGGGTTTGTTGTATGGTAATCCCAAGGTGTGCGAAGAAAATTTGTGCTTGGAGGTTCTTGCCAAGGTTCAGTGAGCATAGCGACATCAGAAGAACTTCCAGCATCATTATATCCATTTGCCCCGTCTCTCTCACAGCCATCTGGAACACCCGGGCTTTTACGCTTATACTGACCTCTTCCATTACCCACCCTAATATCAAATAAATCTTCTTCATTAAAGGGATTCCCATTGTAATTGGACGAAGATGCTTGATTCCTATAATCTTCAGGAGCTATATAGAATCCTCCAGCAGAAGATGTATGCATAGAGAGATCTGATGGGCCAGCAACATCTTGCTGATAATTTGGGACCTGCAGATTGTGAGCTAATGAAGAATATCCACTTGACATTGGAGCCTGATTACAGTGTGAAGTATACTGTGCTCCATCAATCGACATATTATCTGCTGGATACACAAGAGAACTGCTTTCACCTGTCCCACTTCTTGCTGCAAATCAGAAATAAGAAGTGACTAATAATTTTTTTACATATTTATCGAGTCAGTAGCCTTCAAAAGAATATTTCTGAGGAATTGAACTAAGAGTTGGCTACCGGTATGCATGTAAGGATTCTCTGTCAAGTTCCAGCTCTGATCATTCTCAGTCTCCAGCATGTAGGATGGGCTGAAAAGATGCCGATGCCCCATACCTATCCCGATCGCCAGATATCACGATGACAATTTCTAACTGTGGTCAACAAATTTTCAAAGTGTAAGAAGCCGATAGAAGAACCCCTTGACAACAAAGAAAACAATCAAAGATGGCATCAACACGACCAATACATTCATGTATGCAAACGATATTGAATGCATGAACACTATTGATACATAGATAATTGCATTAATACGACACACAGAAAGAAACCAGGGCATATATGACATCATCACTGCCTCAACCAGTCAACCTTATAGAAGATATTAAACCTTGGAGATTCTTGTCACACTAAACGAAGCATAGTGAAAGAGGTAAAAAATGCATAAGTTTGAAAGAAATTGAAAACCCATTAAACACTTGTGGATAAGTGATTTAGCCAGAAGTTTTTCAAAACTTCTGTTAAATCAACCACATGTGGCCCTTTATAGCAATAATAAGGATATGTGTGTAGCCAGTAAATGATTGGATAGAATTTCCATACTATCACCATTCTTCCTCAAGATATTTAAACTAGATTGTGTTACATTACTTGCATTAGCAATTTGCTGGCTAAAACTCAATGAATCTTTTTTATTTGAAACAAGTGATAAACATTAACAAAAAGTTATAACTACAGAAAAATTAAGGCATAGAACAAGTTTTTTACCAGCCTGAGAAATCAGCAGCAGATTACTAGATCTACTATCCTGATGTCATATGAGCAACTTCTAGCAACTGTAGCTATCATTAGGGTATAGGTGTTCAAAGCATGATTTCTTTTCAAGTACAATCGAATTGTTAAGTTTTACAGCTACCCCAGGTGCAAAAGAAAATAAAGGAAAAGAGGGGAAACAGTTTGAGGCCCTAAACCACAGCCCATTGCTCTTCCAGCCTTCCATTTCTAGTCTCCCCTTCTCCATGCTGCTTAAAGACGGGATGAACACAAGTAAAACACAGCTTTTCGCACCATCTAAAACCCCAGCAGAGCATAAGAGCAAAATTAGTCAAAAGCCCAACATAGATATCTAAAAGATTCTGCCTAGACATAAGCTTTCACCAGTGTCAAAAACACTACCTTTCATCAACATGCTTAGAAGAACACAGATATGCGTTCTCTTCAACTTTTCACTAACCAAGACACATCTAAACCTCCAAAGCACTTCCAACCAACATCTACCTCACTGCAATCTCTGCCTCGGACTCATATAATAAACTAAAATCGAACATCCCCTTCTTCCAAATACGGTTATCAACTCGTTATATTTACCTACAGCTGAACTACCTGCGAGGTCAAATTGTAGATGATAACCTCCTTATCACAATTCCTAAAAGTCATCATCTTCTACCAGAACTATTACTTCCTTAAAACATCGGCTTAATATACTTCACATCATTGAAGATCGTCAATTCCTCCGTCTCAAAAACACCCGATCAAATTACATAATCGGTCAGACAAGATTACCGTGTTTAAGAAAACAAACGTAAATATCAGAAATTGATTGAAAACGGGAGAAATGAAGTATGATACGATAACAATCTAAACAATTCATCAAAATTTAACAACAAAACGAGTGATCGGTCGATTACAGAATTGAAAAGGAGAGAGCATACCTAATTTTTGACGGTGGATGAAAGGTATATTCCGATTGAATGAGAAACCGTATGTAGAGAGAGAGGGGGGGATAGATTAGAAGGTTAGGGGATTCGGTGGATGGCCCATGGAGGAAAGAAGGCTTTAAAGGAAGACTGTGTGCGTATGAGTTGGGTTTGGCTTACGTTTACACGGAAGCCATCGATTCACCCACATAACTCCTACGTATTCGTATCTCCTATTTTTCTTCTAGCTTTCCTTCGCCACAGGCAAGCAAAATTTTATTTCTATTTCTAACCCAAATATATTTTGGCGAAAATTTGTGTGAGAAATGAGGTTTTGCTGATAAAGATAAAGAAGAAATCTTAATTTTTTTAATTATTTTTAATTTTATGTTCATTTATTAATTGCATTTTAGAAGGGAATTGATCTGATATATCTTTATGCACCTTATTAATATTAGATATTCAATTAGAAACTAATCCAAAGGTGAAAATCTCTTCTCATGCTTTTGACCATAACTTTCTTTCTCACCGGAACACAATCCATATATGTCAAGACATGTTTCTTAACACCTTGAAAAACTTAATCACACGCACAACTTATTTGATCAGCTATTTACGATTGTTTAGTAGTGACTTAATAATATAAAAAATTGCTTATTCAGTAAAATTTTAGGGGAAACTTTATACAGAAAATCAAGTTTTTTCTGAAAATGTCTTCGCAACCAAAAAAACACGCTCCTTACGTCTACAGAAAAACTCTTTCACATGAAAATCTTCCCAATGCATATAGATAGAAAAATTCAAGAGACATTTTTATCCATGTAAATCTTAATAAAAAATCAAGCAAACACCCCTTTAATGTCAATTAATGTTTTTTTTAATTGACAAAATATTTTTATAATCAATGGTTATATACTTTTCAATTCTTTTTCTTATTTACAACGACGCCAAATTTTTATTCTTTAAGCAAAAACATTTATGTTTGATATACAGCTTTTAAAAGGAAAAATACTGACCACAATAACATATATAAGTTAGTATAAAAAGGGATACGAGGCAAAGGGTAATGTATTTGGTTTCTATAGTTATTATATAATATTATTTTAATCTTGTCGGTTTTTATTGTTTTCTATGTATTTTATTACATATGAGAATTTTGAAGGGTCAACAATCAACGCATGTTACAAAAACAATAAAAAAAACCTTCATTGTATCTGTTTTGGTACCTTATTGAATCTTGGCTTGAGATAAAGTTATCTATAGATAGAAGGGCACTCTTACTACTATAACCTCACCAAGAGTCGTGTTCTTCGCTTTGCTCTTCAGTGATTCAAGTTTTGTAAGAAGTTAATAATCAGATAAGGCTTGATATGCCCTTTTAATAGAGTAATTGTTTCACATATCCACTCTAAAAAGATAATTATTTTTCTTATTGACCATTAATTTAGATTGAATATTTAATTTTCTAACAACATTTTACTTCAGTTTTCACTACTATACAAATGATAACAAGAATGTCAGTTAAAGTCAAAGTTAAGGGTTGAAGGTGTAACACCAACCTCCTACACAGTGTTCCTGTTCAACAACCTCAAAATCAACTTAAAATCATGGTTGAAGTTATTTGCAACCCACAACTTGAGACTTATAAGTAATTTATGATCTATTTTTTTTTATTCATGTGGGATGAGTTGTTACAAACTTTTTCACTTAAATTTTTGTCGGTCCTTGTCAGGTCTATCCAACATGTTAATTTTTTCATGGATTATGGTAGAATTATGACTTAAGATCTCAAAACATACAGTTGGGGACTCCTCAACTGATGTTTGATGAAGTTTGCTCCACCATCTTAATAGTACAAGGATCAACACATGCCATTTGTGACACTTTAAGCTCGAAACAACAAATTGTTCAAATAACATTCGTATCAACTTAAAAATCATGATAAAATTTATTAATATTGGAAGGAAAAAAATACTTCGAATCCACAACAAAAAAAAGATCGATTGAGTCCATTGAAATTTCGGATCAATCTATATTGATTGATTGTCACTTACTACACCCTTCCTCGTATTTGGGTGCCCAGATAACACACGATTTAAAATCTTATAAAGAGTTCACATATATTATTTTCTATGTAAACGAGTTTGTCACATAAGTAAAAAACTAAGATGCTAAGTATTCGTATAAAATTAACCAATAATCGAACATTGTAGGTGGGATGCACATGGGTTAGGCGGGTTGCACATTTGAACAACTCAACACAATTACGACAAATTAGAAAAAATCTCAACACTACGGGTTGGGTTGACGGGTTAATATCTAATGTTTGGTACATTAATGACAAATCAATTTAATTGCAAAAAGAAAAGAAGACAAAACTCTTAAAAAACAAGCAACTACGAGACTGTTTGTTTACCTCTTTAACAGTTTAATTAAGAGACAATATCTGAATCGTTAAGACGAGTTTTTTGTTTGGCAAAATGGCTCTTAATAGTTCTAAAACATTCTAAATGATTTTGTATCTTGGGCCACCTTGAATCATCTAGAGCCCTAATTTCATTATAAACAATTACCAAACAACCATATCTCATTTTGCATTATATCATAAGGACATCTTAATCATCTTGCACCAAACCATTCAGTAACTACCAAACAGCCCCTAAGTTATTAACATAGAAAATTACCTAACGATCACCATCGTGGAAGAGAAATATAGACTACAAGGATTCAACTTGCCTCTTCGGAAATCACATTGAACCGAACAATAGTGTGAATGATTAGAGGTTGAAGTTGAAATAGTGAAATGTGAAGGAGATCCGTAAGCAGTCATAGCCTTGGACGCATGGGCGAGAATTTGTCTTGCTTGTTGGGTGAGACCGTTAACTTGTTTTCACTTAATATGATTAATTAATACGTATATTATTTAATATTCATTGGCCTCATCGGGTTGGGTTGACCCCAATCCTGTTCCGACCCAACCATGTCGGCTTAATTTGCATTGGATGGTATTTGTGCAATGCTAGAACTTTGAATAAAAACGTGTATTTGAATCTTGAAAGGATGAAAAAAAGAATTAAAAGAAGAACAAAATCAACAAATTGGGAGAAGAGGAGGGGTAATTTTTGAATAATTTTGTACAGTTGAAAAACGAACCAAATAAAAACTGGTTATGACAGGCTGGTCCAGTTCTTTCATAAAGAAGAAGATACCATCATTCTTCTCAAATTCAAACAGTTTTCTGTGGTTTCTTCAAAATCGAACTTGCGAAATCTCAATTGGAGTAAGAACTGATCACAGGAAAGATGAGCGTGATCGAAATTTTAACTCGAGTTGATGCAATTTGCAAGAAGTACGACAAGTACGATGTCGAAAAGCAGAGAGATCTTAATGTATCTGGTGACGACGCCTTTGCTCGGCTCTACGCCGCAGTAGAATCTGACATTGAGAGTGCTCTCCAGGTGATTTATGCTTAGATCTGTATCAATTCGTTTTGATATCTAGGGTTTTAAGTTTTCTGTTACAAACTGGTAATTCGTTTTCAATAATGTTGGTTTGTTATTGTTTTCAGAAAGCGGAGACTGCTAGCAATGAGAAAAATAGGGCTTCGGTGGTGGCGATTAACGCTGAGATACGACGCACCAAAGCCAAGTTACTGGAAGAAATCCCTAAGTTGCAGCGATTAGCTATGAAGAAGGTTCGATCTCGCTCCTTTTCTTTGATTGACTAGAAACGGATGCTCTTGTACATTTTGCAAGTTACATACGCGCTGTATGCATGCGTAGGGCAAGAGGAAAATGTCATGTGCTAGATGATTCTTAACATTAGCTGTATATCAATTTATATGTAATCACATATCCATATCTTACCATATTTGAATATGCAAGTGTGCAACTGAGTTTGTTTGGTTTGTCCTGTGGATATAAGCACAATTAGGTGGTCAATTGGAGTACTAAAGCATTTAAGTAATTGTTAGGACCTACGTATCTATTTAGGATGGAGATACAACTATTGGTTCTCTTAAGAAGATCGTGTAGAGAGAGTAACCGACCAACTATGGAGTACTGGTAGGTTTGTGGTTGTGGTGCTGCAATGGAGTGTACAGCGAACTTGCTTTCAGCAGCTTGAATAGACTGTATGATCTGATTTAGTTGATTCTTCTAATCGAGCTACCTTCGAGCTCGTAATCACCCAAGCAGGGATTAAGTGGACTATTCAGCACAAACATACAGTTCACTCATCACTCATGTGGAGTGTAATCATTTTTTAGATTATGTACACACTTGAGATATTATTTTGATATAGTTACTCTTCTGAATATCTAGTTTCATCGTACCATGATGCAATCACTAAAACATATAGCAAAATTCCTCAAGTACACTAATTCAACATTGTATTTTTTAATCTAAGTGGTGAGGGATGCTTGACTAGTTGGAACTGTGAGAGCTGCTTAATGCTTGTTGGCTCTTTAAGCTTCCCTAGGTGGGGATTTTTAGAACACTTGCAGTGTGGATAGGCCACTAAACATTAGCTTCAATTGAAGTTCTTACAGCCTATATGATTTGGAAAATACTGCATGGTCTTTCAAAGTTTGGGGCTGTGCCTAATCTGGTTGAGGCTGGCTCATTCCATCTTAGCTGTTGCCTTGTAGCCATAGATTAAGATGATTATGAACGATGTCAATGACAGAATAAAAGGCAGATGCTAAATGTATCATTTATGGTATTATTTTTGCAGATAATCACAATGCATGACGCAATTTTGCAGACTTGCATCTCCGTAGAAGCTTATTAGCATGGTTATTGGCCCATATTTTTACCATTATAAAGACTATACCAGCAATTGTTAACGCTTTAGTGCCCAACAAGTTTGCTGGTTACAAATTGAGTTTGTATATGCAAGGAGACACATTCAATAGATGAACTTGCATCCTAGGTAAACTGTTTGTATATGGTACTTTATCTGATCTCAACATATCCGATTAGGTTTCAAGTTCTGAATACTTCTGCTCTATTATGACAGTCACAGTAAAAAACGTCCATGGTTGCTTTCTGTCAGAAGCATTAGAAGTCCCACACTTCCACCTAAATAACTAAACAAGTTCATATTAGCATGGAATGTGCCAAAAACTGTAGTCGATGCTTAATAAAAAGCGGTCAAATCTGATAGAATAATTATGGACCTAACTTAATGTGTGTTACTGAGCTGGTACTCCAGTTGGAAGCTACTCTAGTAATTTGTGCATCATAGCGTGATACATAAACCTTTTGATGACTCTTTCTACCATTAACTTGATCAAGTAGGTTAATATCCACTTGCCTTATTGCTTCATTAGTACTATCAGTATTTGTTTTCATAAGTTAGATAATGTGCTAAGAGAGCACTTAAATACTTATGGACAAACGGTACAAGAAGCTAATCTGTGGACAATTAACAAAATGAGTGAACACAAAGCTCTTTATGACTAATTACCAGTTTGTTTTAGAGCCAAAATATTGCCATTTATGCCATTACGGTATAAACATATGGTTTGATGATATTTATTCATATTTATGTTTTGACTTTTCAACTGAATGCGGAATGCCAAAGCCCTAGTGTTACCCACACTCTTTGAGTAGGGACTTGACATGTAGTTGCCACCTAGACAACTCATTGGCGCATATAAGAAAGCATTCACCAATGGAGGATCCCAAGAATTCTAGAAGGCCTTGTAATGCTTCAGGAGATCTAGTTTTTCTCCATAGTTCTATAGGAGATTCTTGTATTGTAAAGAACATTCATGAATCATGATGCATGTAATAGTCTTGGGAGCATATAGCAGAACTTAGAAGGTTCTTGGGTCTAGATTCTTCTTTAGAGGGATGGAGCCTCGTATGAAAGGGGGAGACCTCCTTCATCAGTAGCCATTATCTACTGTTTCCATAATGCTAACTTATCTGAACTAAGGTGGTCTAATACCACACAAAGTTTCAGGGACAAAAAGTTGGTATAAGAGTTGCATTCCAAGATAATGTCAAATGCAAAAGGAGAAGCCATTGCTAGGATGACCAACACAAGAATTCTTGCTTTGAGAAGTCTAAAGATCTTTTGTCCATGGAGACCACAGTCGTGTTTGCCTTTTACCAACACGGAAAGAAACAAAAAAACACAAGTCTCGTAATTTTATTTATCTATTTTTAAAGTGACATCCAAATTATAAACTTGAAGCTTATAATTTAACAATTCTTTGAGAATAATAAAAACCAGAAAGTGTTCAACATGAAAATGTGATTTTGACCAATTCACTGTGAAAAATGTTTCTTACCAAGGGAAACAAAGCAATGAATATCTTAATAATTGAAAGGCATAATCTTTTGCAATTGATTAACCACAAACAAATGGACAGTAATTCATAAATAAAAGTACCATTGCAAAATCAAGCATTTGAGCCTTTGAGGTGGTTGTATTTCATGTAAGAACTCTCCATGTCATTGGTTCAGGCTATGACTTATTAAATGACAATGCATATAAAACTTGTTTACTTGCGGATTGTTATCAAAAGCAAGTGGTGGACTAATGTGACAAACACTCCAATTGCATGAGGCAAAAGGTGAGGCGGTAGGCATTTTCCATAGCAAATTCAAGAGCTATGTTGTAAAAATATTAAAATATATACATTTTAAAGATCCAGATAACAATATCTACATTGTAATCAATGCAACTAGGAGAGGCAGGTTGATCCGGATTGTCGAAGAGAGAAGAGGATGCACTACATTTGTTTTATTTCTTCTTCTAATGAATGAAGGATCAAAGAGATTATAGAAGATCATGTTTACTGAGAAATGACCGAAATTAGATCAAACCCTTGTATCTTAGACCAAATAATCATGTTACCAAATCATCTAGATCTATTAGGTGTCGGCATATAGGGTAGTCAAGGTGAGATTGCCTCGTCTCACCTCTTGCCCGATGCAGTCATCAAGCTCTTCTTTGATGGCAGGACTTGGGTATTTAGGTGGCTTAAATTAGATAAATGTGAGGCGAGGAGTAAGCCTAAGGCAGAAAACAAATAAAATTCATAATATGTAAAACACAATCCCCTATCAAACTATGACAGTGACAAAAAGCCATAAAATTGACAAAACGCACAAATATATACATTATATACAAACTTGACAGAATATATTTACATTTATATTCCATACAAACTACAGAACAAAATATACATACCCATACTGGAAAAAGTAGACCGAAAACAGAATACATTTATACTTTATAGAAACTGGAAAGAAATTAGATTGGAAAGAAATGAAAGTAGACTGGAAACAAAATACACAATATACATACCCAAAATATATGATACTCGTATGTAGCAGGTTCTAAGAAAATACTTATATGTAGCAGCAGGTTGAAATAATGCAGCAGGCACAACTTTTCAATGTAGAAAGAAGGGTTTAAAATGTGAGGAGAAGAAGCCGTGGGGTTTTAAAAAGAAGAAGCCGCTGCTTATGTGTTATAATATTAGTGTGTCATATTATGTTATTTATATAATAAATTTGGCACACCCACTAACCCACGTGAAATCACACCCACATGTGCATCACATAAAGAGAGGCGTACACCTCTGCCTCACTCAACCACCACCTCACCCATGCACGGCCCATGGTTCATCCAAGCACCAAGAGGCGACACCTCAGGTTCAGTTTTTGACCGTCTCTCCTTCAGGTGCTCCTCGAGGCGTGCGCCTCAACCAATATTTAAAACCATGGATTCAGTTGTATGTGTATTTGTACCCCATGTAGCACTATTACATTTTACCCCCTATTTGGGAGAGTTCAACTGTGTTGAGCTAACATTTAGACATCAATTCCATAACAGGTAAAAGGACTTGCTCCAGAAGAGTTTGCAGCTCGTAATGACTTGGTTCTCGCACTTCCGGATAGGATTCAAGCAATACCTGATGGGGGTGCTGCTGCACCCAAACAGTCTGGAGGCTGGGCAGCTTCAGCATCTCGTACACAAATCAAATTTGACTCATCAGGTGATCAATTGGTTACATGCGACTGTTGAATATTACATTTTGTCTGATTCTCTGGTGGTTGGTTTGTTTCTACTTATAAGTTAAACTTCATGTTGGTACATGAAAATATATAGATGGACGATTTGATGATGAATACTTCCAGCAAACCGAAGAGTCTAGCCAATTCAGGAATGAATATGAAATGAGAAAAATGAAGCAGGTATGTACTTGTGATTCTGTTTTCTGTATATCAACATATACAAGAATGTTTCCCGTTAGCTCAACACTTTCACTGTGTTTCATGTGTTACCTTTTCTGTTCTTTTCTTTATATAGGATCAAGGCTTGGAAATGATATCAGAAGGTCTAGATACATTGAAAAACATGGCGCAAGATATGAACGAGGTTTGCTCTCTTGTACAGTTGTAAACTTGTACTTAATCTTGCATTGCAGCGACCACACAATTAATCTTTTTATACTTCATAATGTGTGCAGGAAGTAGACAGGCAGGTTCCTTTGATGGATGAAATAGATGACAAGGTCAGAAAAATCCCCCCCCAAAAAAAAAAAATGCTTGTAATTTAAACTGCTGCAATTATATGTTTACTCAAAGCAATTAATTGTGATATTTCAGGTGGATAAGGCAACTTCAGACCTTAGGAATACCAATGTTAGACTTAAACACACTGTTAATCAGGTGATTAAGCAGCAGCCTAAGATCCTTTCTTATAATTGTGGTTTCCATTATTATATCTAACACAGGTTTTCCTTTCCATTTCTCTTTTTGGGCCGACAGCTGAGATCTAGTCGGAATTTCTGTATTGACATTATATTGCTGTGTGTAATTCTGGGAATTGCAGCCTACTTATACAAGTAAGTTCAACACCCATCTTCGTTCTGTGCACGACATTTTTCTCTCCTTCGAAGCTCTTATTTTGCTTGTGATAGTGTATTTGCACCTAGATACAGTATGACCGAACCATTGAAGGAAGTTAGCTGCTTGGATCTTTTTCTTTAATCTTCTTGCATCAAATTTTATGTGAAATGATTTTCGGTAAAAATGTTTTCCAGTAAACAAAAACGAAAGAAAAGAATGAATAATCGTATGGTATTAATCCCCATTCACCTTTCAAGTCTAGTTCAGTTACCGTTCCTGATATAAACAAATTGGTTGTTCATTTGACTTTTTGATACCGCGAGATGAATGTTGACGTGATCATTATGTTCATCAACCTGATAAGATATTTCAACTTTGCAGTGTGTTGAAGTGAAAATTTGAACATAATGGAATCTCATCTGGTTTGCTCATGTGATGATGGACTGGTTTGCCTCTGAGTTATGTATGTTCTTGCATTTAGATTTGAACTTCTCTTGTCATTTTCATTTATGCTTTGTATGTCTATTATGCGATATATTTCTATCATTGTTCAAATATAACTACGTATGCCATTTTTACTTTCTTATTGTATTGATGGCCTATCGACATTCCTTTTTGGGGGGGGGGGGGATTATGGAAGTGTGAAGATGATTTGATCTTATTGTTGGGATTCCGATTTCCTTGATCTGCTGAGTTTAAAATGTATAATGCTACTTGTATACTAAACCAACCGAGCCCCGTATCCCATCCGGAGGCAGGGTCTTGAAATTAGGATAGGATGTACGCAAACTTGTCCTCTACTCCAAAGAGTAGAGTGACTTTCCGTACAAACCTATTTGAAAATAGAAAAATTGGAATAAAAAAAAGAAGATTAAGGCTACTAGAGAAAAGTAAGCAACGTCAATCAGAAGTAAATATAAAGAAACATAGCGAATGTAAGATAACGATACATCCCCTAATCTGCCTTGTGATTCTGGTAACCCATCTCCCATTTGTTTGAATTTTTCTCAAGTAACAAGTCTAATCCCATGGATCTTGAGACTATATTCATATATTCTTCCTTTTGGCCAAAAAAAGTTAGTAGTGTCCACCTCAATAGATAATGTATCTTACAAATTTAAAATATCCTTTTTTTTGTATAAAAATTGCAATTGATACTAGAATTTTATTCCTGCATAACCACACAATTCGTTCGTGTATTTATGTCATAATATTGACACGTAGTATATGATAAATCATATTTTATGATGAAATTAGCAAATGGTTGCTTTCCAAGCAAAGTTTTATGCCAAAAATATTGCTTGTGGAGCAACCATAGCTTTTACGAACACACACTATGCACATAATGTCTACTTATTCATTGTAACCTTCTTATATTGATCTTCTTCGTAATAATCCATCATCTTACGTGAAGGTCAGATGATTTAGATCGTGGGATGCCATCATATACGCCCACAGATCAGATTGATCTCCACCGTTGAAACTCATTTCATTTGTATCTATCTTTAAAGACCCCACGTCCTCATTTCGACCTTCCATGGTTCTAAGCTTCTTGTTGGGACTGATAAAATCCTCTTCTTGATTCATTTTGTTGTGCCTTCTATCACGACTCACGAAACCTTCAACTGATGCAAATAATTCTTGAAAGTTCCCTCCGTTTTCAGACGAATCAGATGAGTTTTTGCTGCCTGCAAAACTGATGGTAGAAAACTTGGCATCCATGGAAGAGAAATATAAGTGAGAATCAAAGATAAAAGGCAACATTGGACAATCTTTGAACAAGGTTTCTCCCTCTAGGATTTCAAGATCAAGGTTTGTGACCATGGAACTGATTGTTGACTTTTCAGGTTCTGGAATGCTTTGACCATATCTATCTTCACAAAAGTTCCTTGGCGTAGAAGTCTTCTTTCTCACTCTACAAAGAACCCAATCATCCAACTGTAACCACAAACAAGAACAAAGAAAACCCAGAGTTTATTAGGGTTTGAATCTCCTATCATACATTTAAACCATAAAAACTAGAAGATTGATTAAAGAAATCCTCTTTATAGAGGATTGGTGTGACCCATAATAAGAAATCATGGTATAAAAGAATTGAACTTGATATCTCTCAGTTTATGATAATGGATAAGTGATTCAGTGATTGCCTTCGATCAACCTTTGTGGTTCTTTTTTAAGGTCTGATGAAATAAAGTTGTGTGATATGTCAAGAAATGGAAATTAGATGCGTAAAATAAATAATGTAAAGGAATATCCATTCGTATGCTTATAAAAACATTGCAAAAACTCTAATACTGGTAGAGTGATCGACTTTTTATTGCTATCAAACCCTCTTTCTTACTATAGTGGAGAAAAGACGTAGCAATTTAAAAGAATGAACAGAACTTAAATAAAAGAATATAAGTTTTTTTTTTTTTTTTTTGCATTGTTTTCATAATTTGCTAAGAAGCATGTTAGCTTATTTGTTTAACTTGTTATAAAAGTCCATTTTTTATGAGTTTATTTGCCATTTTATTATAAATACACCCTTACTATTTTATCGAATCTTGTTTAATTATTAATTTGACTTATTAATTAGTATTTAATTATTAATTTATAAATCTTAATATACAATATCTAATTATTACTCATATTTTTGTTTATTGATTTTTATTAAATTGTACTAACAACTTTTATGATTAATCAAATTATTAACTTAGTCATATTTGTTTATATTTTTTAATTAAATGTTATTAATCGTCTTGAATTAGTATTAATCGCGTTACTTACTATCACTTACTTTTATGTTTTATTATTATTTATATAAATAAATTTAGTCAACCAAAAATCAAGTAAAACAATTATAAAAATATTTTTGTAATTATAAAGATTATAAGTTATATTTTTTAATTTTTTGTAAGTTATAAAATTTTGATAAAATATGCATTAGTGATTTTTTTTTCATGTAAAAAATGAGCTTTTATCTATTATTTTAGGTATTTTTTATAATCAGTTAGCTTATCCATTATCCATTAATAAGTAGCTTAAGTTGTATGTAAATGATTGGTTTCTTGAAGAGAGTGCTTTCTTTACATATATTTTCATAAAAACAAGAGTTAATATGAAAGGAAAACAAGGTCATGATGGTTTTATTACCCTCATTGATTCTTTTGGCTTTTTGGAATCGCAAGCAAGTGTATCTAGCAATCTGTACTCATGCATAATCCAATCAGTCTTATCCCCTCTTGGAGGTCGACCCTTGTAGAACACCAAAGCTTTCTTCACTCCAACGATGTTCTCCCCTGATGATCCCAAAATCGGTCTATCAGTTCCCGTCGCCTTCCAGTATCCATAACCTGCCATCCTGTTCGGCCTCACTCCATTCGGGTACTTCCTATCTCTTGGAGTGAAGAAAAACCATTCATCTTCTCCAAACAAAGCTTTATCTATGACCAAACACCACAAATTTGCATAACTCAAGATCGGTAATTTACACGGTTAGAAACTGTGTAAGAAGGTACTTTAAGAAAACACGACGTCACTTTCTTACATAGTTTCATTCATAATCATGTAAAATGAACAATTTTGTACTAGTGTTACAGAGGGAGAGAAAGAGAGACTGACGTGGAAGCTCCCATGGATTGAACTTGTATAGCTCGATTTCAGCAAAGATAGAAGCCGGGAGGGTGGTTGAAGTGACTTTCTTCTGCAAATAGTGAATGATGAGTTCTTCATCGGTCGGGTGAAATCTGAAACCTGGAGGAAGTTGTATGTTTAAATTTGAGGTGGAATTCTCCATGGAACTACCTTTGTTTTTTTCTTAGCGGATGGAGGAAACTACTAGGCTTATTCATGGGTTGTATATACATGCATAGACAACTAGCATATATATGCAACGTTTATGTTATTATTATTAATCTATTTAGAATTAGAGTTTCAAGAAAGATCGTATGAAAGTAACCTTTCTGTCGTGAAGCAGATGATTACGTACGCGTTTCTTGACTTGGAACATTCAAACATGGATGTTTTGTCCTTCACAAGTACCAAAAGTACAACCAGTATAGTTCAAGAAAGGACATAACGTCAATTATAATATTATCAAAAGAATCTTTAATTTCGGTTTAATTTGTAGCTAAAAGGGTGACCATAACAAATGCAATCAGGGAAAATTGAATACATATACAAGATTCTCTTGGAGATGTTTGATGATAGGAAGTTGTCATGACAGCCGAGTAGATACATTTACGAGCCGAGACCTTTTTCGTGTGAAGTGCATGTTCTGTATGGGTAATGGTCTTTTATACGTTAAGACATAAAATAAAATTAAAAGAATATATATGTAATTTATTTCTTTTTTGTATTATTTGTTATGTCTCTTCGTTGTATATTAATGCAAGATTGCAAGTAAAACAATAAAATTTTAATCCATTTGTTTGAACATATAAGAGTTGGTATACAAAATGAATTGTTACCATACTTTTATTAATAGAAGTAACTTTCGAGCAGGGACAAATGGCCATAGGAGTCTTGACTCATGGGCTTTTTTTATAGATGGAGTGAAACATCTCTAGTCCATTAAGATTTTAAATATAAAATTCTTTTTTGCCTCTTCATTATTGTTGATACAGTCCATTTGTGTTTCACATCTGCTTAAAGAGGGTCAAAGAAACGAGTCTTATTATTGAATTTTAAATTATTCCAAGTTTGAAAGGTAAATTTGCTATTTTCGTTAAATAAAAATTTGATTCCAAAATTTGTTTTATTATTCCCACACATTGTTCACGTCAATGTCTTTGAAATAAAATGATGAATTTGAGGTGATAATTTGTTTGTTTTCTGTCGTTTTTTATTAATTAATACAGTTTTGATATTTTTATTTTTATAATTATAATATATGTTTTTGTATATTTATAATAAGATAAAATATGTAAAATAACAGCCTATTTTTACAAATTTTATTATTATACCATTGTACTTTCAGTTTTTCTTATTACATCAATATACTTTCAAAATATTTTTTATTAGGACATCGTACTTTCAAAAATTTACCCGTTATAGTATTGAGTTACACGTTACTTTATGAACGGGTTTTTCTTTTATTGACGTGTCAAATTTAAAATGACATGGAAGCCACATAGGATAACCTGTTACACATGAGAAATGCACAGAATAGTAGGCATGGGATGGGGTGGGGACCTCAATCCTCGTCTCCGTCCCTAATTACTTATCTCTATCCTCGTCCTGTTCCCAATCCCCGCCGGGGAATATAATCACATCCTCAATGGGTAAAAAAACCTGGTATAATGGGTAAATTTAATATAAAAGGTTACTCAATGTTATAACAGGTAAATTTTTGAAAGTACGATGTCCTAATAAAAAATATATTGAAAGTACATTGTTGTAATAAGAAAAACTGAAAGTACAATGTTATAATAAGAAATTTTGTAAAAATAGGCTGCAATTTCACACAATTTACCCTTATAATATGCTTTTATGTGTCATGTTGTTAATTATTTATTTGTTTCAAAATCAAAAAAATACATTATTTCTTTACACGATAATAAAATTTAATAAACGTTTTGTGAGACTAACATTTTTTTATGAGATCATGAGACACTATAAGGGTTTCATTTGTGTTTTATAAAGGTTTGTTGTGATTCTTCTATGAACATTCGTTGTGTTTTTCATGTAAATGTTTATTTTTTTTATATAAAGGTTCGGTCTTGCAAATATTCGATATTTCTTTTGTAAAGGTTCCGCGAGATGAAAAACGCTCATAGAAAGAATCTAAGAAACTAGTTTTTCTCACATGATTCCAAATTAAAGGTCATGTAAGAAAGTTGAGATATATCAAAAGGCATTTGGCGTAGCGGTATATGAGTTATTGGCCTCTTAGGAGGTCAAGAGTTTAAATGTCACCAAATGTGGGGAGAGTGTGTGAGTTTATTCAAAAATATAACCCAAACCAACGCAGCGGGTTAGTAGTTACATAAGTGACGAATTAAATACTTCAAAAGACTTAAGTTTATAAGGTTAAACTGTAAAACGTCTTATCTAAAAATGTTACAATAGGTTTATAGGACGTTTTTTGGGCATTTCAACAAGTTTTTTAGAACACTTTTTAAATAAAGTGTCGTGGTAGTAATTTTATAGAAATATTTTGAGAAGTGTAATGTAAACTCATCTATTTATTGAACACTTGTATTCGTAAAGTAACTAATACGACTCTTTATTTTAAAAGCGTCATAAAAATTTGTTAATACGTTCGAAAACATTCTAGAAACATATTGCAACTCTTTTAGATAAGACTTTTTTGTTTCGTCTTAAAAAGTATCATATTATGACACTTAGACATTTTATGCATCATATAAAACTTATGTTGTTGTAGTGAAATGTTATAACTAAGCTTTTTCTTTCCACCAAAGTTAAACATCAAATGAGAGAGTATTTGGGTTGATAGCTTTGTCAGCAAAATATCTATCAATATCATTCATATTCTCCGGTATATCCATTTGTTGTTGCTACAAAAACGATTTTAATAATTTTCTCTTATTAATTAGATTTTTTGCCATCATTCTTTGATTGTGAATCTTTTTTTGTAACCTTATACATTTAGCTAAATTTAAATACAAACATAAACTTAATAAACATTATATAAAATTTTACACATTATTTATATGTATAATAAACATACATATATATAATTTTATAAAGATTATATATTAGAGGTGAGTTAGCAGGTTGGGCAGGTTGAGCTAGACTTATCCCAATTTCAATCCTCTTAGATGGCGGATTGACGGATTAAGTTGTTAGCGGGTTGGGTTGAATTTATGTTTACGGATTGATGTATTTTTGTACACCCATAGTTTGGACCGACCAGTGTGCATAGTTTAATGTTATTACGAGCTTCAAACTATGAACTAATATGTGTGTATATATATATATATATATATATTAAGAAACAAAAGAAAATTCTAGAACAGAATTGAAAGTAGTTTGATAAAACATGACAAAAGATAGTGTCATGCTGATGTAAATAGTTTAGAAGTCCATAATATGATTAACAAGGGGTGTTGGGTTCGTATATTTCGAGGAAATTGCAACGATCGATTCTTTTGACTTTGTTTATTTATTGTATTTTGTTTGCAAATCAAAAGAAATTCAAATCTCTTGTTAAGGGAACAAACCGTCACGCCCAAATTTAGAGATTGATAGCCTTTTTGTTGTTTTAAATAACTCGTCACAACAATAAAAATCAGCTTTAGTATCGAGTAATCAAAAGAAAAGGGTGTAAACTTCAGTGCATGTCCAATATCCGTCTACTGTTAAATTCATCCGAACCAATATTACCCATTTGGAGAAAGTCCCAAATTTGACAACTCCAAGACCATTGCTTAGCAACTTTGAGGAGTCGGTTCAATAAACATAAGGCTTGAGCCTTTGGCCTCCTCTCCACAAATCACTAATTTTGAGTCGTACTCTATGACTATCGAGAACTTTTCAAACTGTTACCCATAGAATTAGTCGAAACACACATCACCGATATGAAAAGGCAAGTAATGGAATAAAATGTCACCATTTTATGTAACTTGTACATTAAACTGTGTGGCTATGGTGGTAGGCTTCTATAATATTACCTTGTTTTCCAGAGCAAAGATGGTTCAGGTGATCAAGTATCAAACTCAATTTTCTGTTTCACAAGCACGCTACACCAAGGTACCCATTTTTGTGTCTCTCTATATTCTCTAGTAGTTTGTATGTAATGACTGTAAAAAGATGTATCAATCTTGTGACATTGATGGTATTGGTATTGGTATTGGTTTTGGTTTCAACTATACGTGACTCTTTAATTGGTAGTGGCTTAATGATATAGAAAGTGGCTTATTCAATAAGCTTCTAAGAGAGAGCTTCTGATATTCCTAGTGGGTTTTCAGGTTAGCAGAGTTGCATTGGATTCATATGGGTCAACTCCAAATACTGATGGCACTGGCGAAAATATTGTATATCGATTTGGTTGTGTCTAATGAAAATTATAGCATTTAACCTGACACATAGTTTAAGTAAAATGTTTGACTAAGATATAAATAAATACCGAGTAATACACTGGGTTGGTACTTTGCATCCCGCACCAACCATGCGAGATGTCCCAATGGTCTCCCCTTTGGTGGTTCATCGAGTTGAGACTGAAACGCTCTCCGGTCTGATTTTTACTCGAGAATCCATACTTACTGCGTGTCGAGAAGGCCATATCAAGGTCTCGATGAGACCATCACCGGATTCGGGTGGCAGCAGGCATTGATTTTTGTGGAAGCAAATAGGTGTTTTGTGCAGACTAACCAACAGGTAATATGATGGAAGGGCTTGTAACTTGCAAGTATGAAAGAGATGATATCAAATAACTAATTTTAATAATTCAAGTTTCAATCTTCTTTATGCAATTGCAAACTGCTTCCAATTCCCATATCAATACAAACAAACTACAAATTTAAGTAAATATATATATATACATTCACATGTGAATACGAAACAAAATAGTTACTGCCACGGGCATGAAACTAAGACATCTTTCCAAGCCCAAGCCACTCTTAAAGCAAAACCATTTGTGCCATTAAGCACCAAACCAAATCATATAAAAACTTGTTGCAAGATTTCTTGATTCCAAATCATTGGTTTTGGACAATCACCATACTTGGTTTTATTTAAAACTTACTATGTATTTCTGTGGGTGCCCAAAACTTGCTCTTTCTTTTGTTTTCAGGAACCAGAAGCCAGGGAATATGGTGTGGTTTAAACCTTCAATCAATCTTCTGCTCCGTTGTTGACCTTAATTTCCAAAAGCCTCTCGACTGACTGCCTGCATATCGGGCACCGGTTCGTTTGAAACCTCAAAACCTTAGCACACCCACTGCACATACACTGAAAACCAAACCAAACAATTCATCAGAATCAGAGAATTCGTCTTCTTTCCCAAAAATCTACAAGATAAACAGATATGAGTAGTTACCATGTGACGGCAAGGAAGAACAGTGGTGTCTCGCGGTTCCGATAAACAGATAACACATTCTTTCCCAGGATCATTCCCATCAAAATCACCACCATCAATCGAATTCCCAATCCCATAAATCTCCTGCAACTCGTATCTTACCCCATTCACCCACAAGATTTGTTTCACTACTCTGACCTTATATTCCCCCTTTTCCTTCTCAAAAACTGCATCTGTTATCTGGGAATTACTATTATTCACACCATCTTCTGGCATCGCTTCTGCCTTCACTGCCAAAGGGTATACATTCATTTCATCCCCTTTCGATAACTCTGCCTCCTCGTATGTCGACAGATCTACGCCAGTTCCTGGCGTTTGCCTAAATTTCTGGCCCAAACCTTGTTTGAAGCTGATCGTAATCGGCTCATGCGACTCTGCACTCAGCTTACAGTCTTCCCCCTCTTTTGCAAAGAAATAAAGGGTGATGCTGCACCAATTAGGCAAAAATAGGTGAAAATTTAGACTAAAAAATGTCGAAAGAATCGAAATCTTGAGATGGGTATGTGATAATATTGAAAAGAAAGGATTTTTTAGTTTACCTGCAAGCAACAGTGGCATCAAAAGTGAAAGAAACAAGAAATTTTCCTGGGTTTTGTTCATCGGCTTCAATCTTGAGAGTTTCTTTCTTGAGGTTAACATCATTCCTTATGGTTACCGCTTTTTGATGATCAACATAAGGTGTAGGAGGGTGCATCACAGGTGCACAAGGGTATCTACCACCTACCCAGGTTGGGTCCATGGGGATACGGTGGTGATAGTGGTGGTGGGGATCATGTGGTGGTGGCAAGGGTACGGCACGAAGTGGTGGTGGTGGGTAGTATGCGCCAGCTGGGTATTGGTAATACGGTGGTGGAGGGTGAGGGTATTGTGAAGGGTAAGGTGTGGCTGCAGCGAATACAAATCGATTGTTGATCTCCGACTGGTGTTGTTCCGGTGGTGGTGGCGGTGGCGGGTTGGTATGATGGTTTCTCCGTCTACTGTTTCCACCGCCGTGCCTCCTCCGACCGTTGGAACCGTTACTTCCAACATTACCCATGATCAAAACGATTAAAATCAAAAAAAACCCCCAACCCAAATTTCCAAATCACACCAAGATTGAGAACCAAATGATCAAACAGGAAGCAAGATTGAAAACCCAACTGGTGAAATGAAAATCAATAAAACCCCAAATTCCTAATCACGATAAAATCGAAACCCCACAAGTTTTGTTCTCGAAATCATCAAGAAAAACCTTATGATTGAATGGTTGGATAGTTGATGATCCAATGAAGATAAGGCATCGATGATGAAGAATTTATGAGAGATTAATTTGAAGAAAACAAAAAGAAAAGAGAGATGAATGAATAATATGATGATGGATTGCGTAAAGAAGCCACCTCCACTCCCCAAAGAAACCACACCATTATTTGATTACCATCATTTGCCCTAATTTATTGCTATATTTTATGATTCTGAATCAAGTTTTACTGGTGAAATCATTCGCTTTAGCCCACATACCCAATTCAAAAACTTTACATATAATAAGAATGTCGGCCAATAAAACATCAATTTTGTGTTGGTAAACGTCCAAAAACTATGAATCGGAACCAAACTTGAAGACGAAGATGATGTTTACAGGACATGAATCAATTTGGTGTTGATTTGTTCGACTTGTTTTAGGTTTTAATCCAACTTGTATGTATTTAATTGATTTCCCTTTTTACCCATCATGCACACCCAAGCTTTTCATCCATGGCCGTCCCTTTCCTTTTGATCTGGTTGAAGATCGGTTAGCTCTAAATTGTTATCAGATTAGTGCCCTCTAGATTCACTAGTATATGTTTTTGATGCATTTGACAATTACCCGTTAAAGTTTGTTATGTATGATTAAAGCTTTATGTTTGAATACGTGTAACTATAAACATAATCAAATATAAAACAAAACATTAAAATTAAAATATACCTCACTCTATGATACAAGAGTTTTGAGAGGATTGATTGTAAGTTTTGTTGGCCGAAAGTTGGGTTAGATATTATTTATTTAATGAGGAAAAATGTCCCAACTTGCCTAACTATATTTATAAAAAAAATGTTTAATTATATTAAAAAAGGTCTTTTAATTAATATAGAAGTAATTAAGAAAAAAAGGTCTCAAATTTAGTGCTTAAAGGTAGATAAGGTGGGTTTTGCCCATTTCCATAATTCATAAATTATTATTCTTTTCTATAAAGAAATTTCGATTATTTTAATAAGAATTAAACGTTTTTTGAAGTAAACTTTTTTCAAATCAATTTAATTGCTTGAATCTTTACTTGTAATTACCGAGACTAAGGATTAAGATGTCATTTGTTTAAACACTTGCTCGATAAGCATTTGTGAGTAAGATTTGATACTATCACTTATTTTATCGGGTTCACTTAGTAGGTAAGACTCGTGTTCTTTGTCATTCCTCTTATTGAGTAAGATTCCCGGTTTTTGGCATGTTCATCTGACTAGATAATATGATTTGATAAACGCTTAACGGGTAAGCGTTTGATAAACGGCTCCTAAATAAATGTATATTATCTGGGTAGAACTTATTTCAGATAGAGCCTACCAACAATAGTTGGTAATCAACTCCTAACTTTCCATTAGATGTTAGAAATTCCTAATTGGGTAACCTATATTCTTTGCATGAAATGGCACAATCTACAATCTGGATTTCTCTTTACATAATTTGGGAAAATCGAAACTTATCGGTCTTCTCTGTTGGCAACCAACTTCGTAATTATTCGGACATAGTTTTTGACACCCAACGACTGTCATCTTTTTGGCTTGTCACGCTCAAAATGTCTAAACATCTCATGGACTTTATGGCTTTCGGAGAACTTCAATTATGATGGTTATAGATAGATCTTCACCGAGGGGGTGAGGTGTTTGACCACTCGGTTTTGTCCCCTTTTTTCTCTTATTTGGTTGGTTTTATCTGTCTTGTTTGGTTTTTACACCTTAAAAAACTTAAGTCTCATGGACCCCTTGAATATTATACTTTATTTTTTCCTTCGTGATCTAATAAAATTTATTTGCCTTTCAAAAAAAAATATTAAATATTTCATTTTTTATCGATAAAAATGACACTGAAGTTTAAAGTAAAATCAATAAAATTATTTGTAAGATATCTTTTTACTTATTTATATTATATTATAAAATATTTGACAAAAACTCTTAAAAACTATTTTTTATGCATAAAGTACTATTTATTGATGCATATTACTTAATATTCAAGATCACAAGTAAATTGTGTATAAACACAACTTACTAAACTTCATGATTAAAATTGTGTAACTAACTACAGATAAACATAATCAAATAAAGGATAAACATCTCATTTTAACTATAAAAAATCTAAAACATAACTTGGATAATCACTGAATTCTAACAAAAAATTAAATTATTATATTTATAAAAAATTATACTATTAACCAAAAATAAAAAAATGAATTAAAGATGTATACAAAAAACCGAGAAATTTTTAATGGTTAGTTTAGTATTAATATCAATATTATTTTTTTAAAATTTTATAATATTTTCATATTTATATTTTATTTAAAATTAAAAAACATTACTGTTTTCTCAAAACCACATAAAATTGTATTATAATATCGACCAAAACAAAATAAATTAAAACAAAACATTAAAATCAAAATGTATTCCAATACATTATACGAGTATACTTCTGATTTAATATTACATTAAAAAATGCTACCGAATCCAAGGCATCGGATTCCCATCAATCGATGCTTTGCCCTTTCAATAAGACAACTTCTATTCCATCTTTCCTTTTTTTCACGTAAATAAAAAAAGTAATGCAAGGTTGTTTTTTTTTTTTAATAAAAAGTTCATTTATCCAATATTAATTTTTTTTATTAACCTAGATATTCAACCCGTTACGCGAGCCGACTAATTTTAGGACGACCATATGCTTTGCAAATATCCCAAAATCATCACATTTGAACCTCCGTGACCATAAAGGGATTTTTATTCATTCCTTGGATTTGAACATGGGACGTCCTAGTCCTTTTGACCTTTTGAGCCAAACTCAAAGCAATCAGACACCACGCTTATGGTTACTTATTATTTTTACAAATAATATTTTCGGGTATCAATATGGGCATTAATTGGGTAAATTTTGTGATTATTGTAATATCAGTAAGATTTTCGGTTCTTATCATATTCATTGGTAAAATAAATGTTATAAACATTTGTTAAACAAGCACAAATGAATATTCAATGTTTATTAAAAATCTCAAAGGATGGTGAGTGATTGTTTATAACTAACACCAGCTCAAGAACAAATTTACAGTTGCAGAAGAGCAGCACCAAGTAACTCACCATCAATCTGCCCCCAAAAAAAATGGAAAAATTCAAACTTTGAATCACAAAATCAAACCTTCTTTCACCAATTGCTCCAAGAACGTTGCTACTTCCCCCATCGATGGTCTCTCACATGGATTCTCCCTCACCGCAAACTCCGCGATCTCCGCAAGTTTAAGCAACGGCACCACCACTCGCGGCAGCCCCACGCACCGATCGATGATCGCCGCCGCTTTCCCCTGTTTGATCAGCGGCACCGCCCATTCCATGATGCTCGAAGGCGTGCAATCCCGATCGTTGGCTTTCCTGCCGCTAAGTATTTCTAGCAACACAATGCCGAAGTTGTAAACGTCGTCTCTCATGTCTAGAATCACGTCTCCTTCGTTTCTTAAGAGTCCGAAATCGGAAATTCGAGCACCCCAATCGGCATCTAATAGAATATTGGAGCTCTTTACGTCACGATGGGCTATCGGTGGGTTGATTTCTGTGTGGAGAAACTCGAGACCTTTTGCAGCCTGCATCGCGATCCTTAACCTGAGTGGCCAATTTAGCGGCGAGAAGCCTCCATGAAGATGATCGTGTAGAGTACCGTGCGGCATGAGCTCGTAAATCAGCAATCTTTCTCCCATTTCTGCACAATATCCTAACAAGTTAACCACATTACTGTGCCTAACACTGCAAAGGATCTCAAGCTCCATTTCGAATTCTCTACTGTTCGTATGGATTATGGTAGCGGCATTCGCTCGTTTGACCGCCACTTGACGACCATCGGCTAACACAGCTTTGTAAACGAACCCATAGCTCCCTCTACCGAGCTCGTTAAACTCTTTGAACCCATTAGTCGCATCTTTGAGTTCAGAGAGCCGGAAAACCTGAGCTAGACCAGGACATGGTGCAACCGAGACCGCAGATGGTGGAACATCGGGTGCATCGGTTTCTTTCTCGCCTGGCTTACCAATGCAAGATGCAAACTGCTTCTTTTGTCTACCTTTTTTCGGAAAGAATCGAAGCAAGATACACAAAAAGAGTAGGATTAACAAGAAGCCCAAAACCGATGAACCAACTATGATCATCAATCTATGCAATTGGCGCACCCGATGATCTTGATGCGATTGCTGGTGTGGTTTGAGGTTGCAGACTTCCCAACAAGAACTGTTTTGACAAAGGGAGCAGGCGGTGCAGACTCTATCGGCATTTTGAGTACACGAACTTGAAGGGAAGAACCCATTCGAGCAATTGAACCCACATGGAGAACAGATATTGAGATCTTTTCGGACACATAAGCTCGTCAAATCCGGCTCATGAAGAAGACTAGCATTGAAAGCAAACTTCCCAGGACCACATGATCCAGGAGTACATAAACCTGGACTGCATAATTGCAATGGAGGATCAAAATCAGATGGTGAAGAAGCATTTGCAAACCAACAATCAAGAACCAGATCATCTTCTCGTATCCCACACATGATCGAATCGGACGAAGTGATCGATAAAAAGCCCGAATCTTTGGGGATAGATGAGGAGTTAACCTTCCCCCAACACTCGATCCCATGATCATCTGTTCTGATCCCACAAAAATATCGAGCACCAGTTGCCAAAGAAACAAACGAAGTTCCTAATGGAGGATCAACATATGAAGAATCTAAAGAAGAAGAATCACCCCAACACTTAATCTCACCAGATGATTCTAAAATCCCACAAAGAGAAGTTCTGCCAGATGCTAAAGCAAGAAAATGGTCTGATAAACTGGGAACACCTAAATTTGATGCATTTGGGCCCCAACACTTAATCCCACCATCTTTAAGACTACCACAACTAAACCCTTCACCAGATACAATCTTTTTAAAAGAAAGCGAGCTGATTTCTTGATTATAATACAAACCACTCTGTTTTGAACCAAAACCAGTGCTTGATGTTTGAACGATATCCCAACAATCAACAGAACCGGAATCGGTGTCGGAAAAATAAGATCCTCTTATGGCACAAACGTGATCTTTGCCTGAAGAAATATGGGAATAAGAAGTAGATTGGTATACCTGAGGAACAAGATCAGAACCGGAAGCCATGGAGTTCCAGCAATATGCATACGAGGTGTTCACTAGAATGCCACACATAAATCCAAAACCTCCACTAAGAGCCGCCATGGGCGGCACATCTGTGGAAGAAGAGGAAGTACTCTTGTCCCCCCAACAAATGACTTGCTGTTTGCCACTAGCATCAATGGCACAAAAGAAGTCGTTTCGACCGAATACGGCGGAGATAGGGCCCATGGATCCGAAGCCATAGGTGAAGGTGGAGAAGGAAGAAAGAAGCAAGAAAAGAGAAAAAGTGGAAGTGGTGGTGTGGAGAGGATTCATGGATTGTTAGGAAAGAAAGTTTCATGGAAGGTGGAGGATGATGGTGTAGATTTTGTTGGGAAGAAGATGAAGCAGGATAGAACGTGGGTGTCGCCATTTTCTAAGAGTTTTAAATAAAAGGGTAAATCGCTTATGAAAAGGTAGAAGTAGAAGTTACTGTTTGCAGATGGTGAGATCAGAGTGATGTGAAAATGGAGATCATGGCTGCTTCTTACTTGCTCCTCCAAATCAAGGATTTATTTTTTAATATAAAATTAATAAAAATGAATTTATTTAGCACAAAATGATATTTAATAATATATAAAAATGTATTTAACCGACTTTTTTTAATAATAAAAAAATTGTACGTAAAAACAATAAGTATATAATGATTGAGTGATAATGAGGAGTAAAATGGGATGGGATGGGTGGAAGGTACATCGTCATTAAATGAAGTACCAAGTAGCAAATATTCAAACAAATTGAATCGATGCCAATTGGCAAATCACAATTTTAAAAGCAATAGCGACGGTCGTCTCCGTTGCTAGTAATTAATTAAATACATGTGTTTCACCTTGCAATTTGGTGCCCACATGCTTCTTGTCTTCCCTTCCCATTTCTATTGCTAATTACAGATTTATAGGATCTTAATTTTGGTCAATTTTTGAAATTAAATACCCCTATTATATTCTAATTATTAACTTAAGATTTTTAAGATCTTAATTTTGGTCAAATTTAAATAAAATACCTAATTTTGTTCTAACTCCTTTTCAAATTTAAGATTAATCTAATATATATCTATACTATATTATAAAGCATTTGGC